ACCCCCAGAGCTTCTGATTCAGTAGGCCTGAGGTGGGACTTTAGAATTAGTATTTCGGAGACCTTCCTAAGTGTTGCAGATGCTGCTGGTCCGGGGGACACACTTTGAGAATTATTCTAAAATGTTCTCTCCTTTCTTTTAAAGGAGAGACAGGAATTCCAGAGAAACTGCTAATTTAAGCCTAATGTGTTGAATATGTCGCAGGCTTTTTAAAAACATCAAATCTTGAAGCAATTAGAAGATTACTTTTTCATTTTCCCCAGAATTGAATTCCCAAAGGAGGTCTTTAGGGCCCTCTAAAGAGGGTCCTTAGAAAAGACTATCCCAGTCTTTTATCCTCTTGTCTTTGATAGTTCTGTTGCACTTCAGCTTTTCACTGAGTGCAAAATCCCAACTCAACTTAGAAGAGCCTGTCTCCTTTCACATGACCACAGAAGGCTACATGCAGAACACCAGGTGGCCAGCTAAGGCAATCAACATTCAGAAATAAAAGGAGAGCGAACGTTTGCAAGCGCACTTTAAGCCTGTACATTTAAAGCTGAAGGCCTCCAAACAACTTGATAGGGGAACTTGTGAACGAGCAGTGCTGTTAAAGACATGCTTCCTAAAGCCAAAACGAGAGGAACAAGACCATGGAAGAGCAGAGATAACTTTAGTCCGTTTGGGGGATCTTATGGCACCTGTGGTTTATAAACAGCTTTAGTAACGAGTATTTCAAAACATAGTTCACAGTTTTTAAGAAGATCTGTGCTGATTTTTAAAAACTAGATTCTATATAATTTGAATGTTGCCTTTTTTGAATATGGTATCTATTTGGAAAAAAATATTTACACTAAATTCTATGGCTGATTTGTTAGAGTATCTTGAAAGAAAACAACCCCAAGTTGGAAAGAGGCCCCAAAGAATAGATTATTCCTGGTGTGTTTGGTTCAAGTCACTGCTCACAGAGACTTGGAGTCAACTACAGACCGTGCAGGCCAAGGACCCTTCTTGGCTTCCAGGCTCTGAGTTTGTACACTCAGGAACCAAATTCTTCAGGGTTAGTGAATGATTGCAAGTGGTTGTTTTTTTCCAATTGCTGTGAAAAAAAATGTACAGTGTATAATAAACTGTTTTGCTAAAATCCAAACAATTCAGAAATCAAACGTCTAGCTATAAACAGTATTAATATTGTCATTGTAAACTGAACAGGTTCAATATCATGTGCAAAGGTTTAAAATGCTTGTTAATACTGCCATTGTGTATAACAGCAGCATGGGTTTTCAGCCTGTGTTTGTTTGCTTTTTAACCAGAGATGAACCATGTTACAGAGGATGTAGCTGATAAGTTAACTTTGAACAAAAGTCTTTTTTTTTTTTCCTTCTCGAAACACACACCTATGCACTAAAAATCTTAGAACAAAAAGTTAGCTGCACTATAGTCATCAGAACACATCTTTAGGGGTGGGGGGTTTGTCGGGAGCTGCTGGGTGTGGTGGCTCCTCTCTTCGGTGAGGCTGCTGCCAGGCTGCTGTCTTCCTCCTCTGTGTGGCCACAGGGCTCTCCATCATCACCAGTTTTCATGTTACTTTCATCATCTGTCTGACTATAGCTTGCCTGGGAATAAGGAATGTGTAATTTTTTTTAAAGATGCAAACTGTTTCTAAATTAGGGTTATGAAGCTTAGGATCCCCCCCTTTCCCCAATACAGAAGAAAGCACACATGCGTGCACACACACACACACACACACATGCACACACACACTCCTTTCCTATGACAATCAGGAATTAATGTCCTAGGACACTGTGTGCTATTGCATCTTCTGGAAGAGAGGACAGGAAGTCCTCTATGTGGATCTCTTTCTTAGTGGGTACCGGAGGCGTCTGGAGGGGAAAAGCAACACAAACAGAAATATTTGTGCTGTCCTTTGGACAAAGATAAAACCAGTGACCCATCATTAGGATGCCACGTTGGTTTTTAAAAAATCTACTGTGGATGGTCCAATCCTCTATTTTCCATTAGGATGTGAGTGGCCAAGGAGAGTGGTGTACCATGTGGCCAGAGGATGTAACAGGGACAAATTCAATACCTAAGTGGGCCAAAATTGAGTCTTGGAGGACCCTAAGCTGAGTGCCATTATGTATCCTGTTTCTTCAGAAGTGGCTAGTTGAAAACCAATAAGCCAGGTTTTAAACTATTCACTCTTTTTAGTATTGTATGTTGATAAGTGCGTGCTTATTTTCAAATAGGTCTAAAGCTCTTTTTGAGCAGATGTTGCATCTTCTATGTCTCTGGCATCCACCTTCTGCCCCTTCCCCATGCAAGGCTCCCTCTGCCTTCGCGGATGGCTAATGTCAAGCTGATGAACTGGCTTCAGACCCTTGGATAAGAGACACATATACTTTGGGATAATTTCTGGTCTTGCAGTATAGTCAGGAAGTCTAAACAGAAATATTTTAATAAAATAAACAAGTTAAAATGTACCTGTACTTCTTGGTTACATTAAGAAAGAGTACAATAGGATAGAGCCAGCTGCAAAAATGAAAAGCCACTAGTTTTTGTAACATTCTATCAGGTTTTAAATGAATTTGCCTATGTGGCTGATTGAATGACAGGCTGGTTCTTGTTCAGAGTTCTGTGGAATTCCAGCTAGGTGGACTACAGGATGCAGTAAATGGCAAAGACTACAACTGTCTAATTTTTCACTGCTAAATTTGCAACAGAAGATTTAAAAAATGGCCTAGGAACTTCTAGCGTACTGACATTTTTGGCTTTTAGGTACCAAATGCTACTTTTTATCTGAGTTTAAGGCAAGCACATTTTATTAGACTTTCAAAAATATTTTTCTAAGAACTAGCTACTGATGTTTAAATAATGTGCAGAACAACAATGATCAAATTGCTGAAGCTAAGAGAAAGAAAATGCTATTAAAGGAAAAGGCCTGCCCCTTGGGACTAAGTTTGTTATAACTGGAGTGAATATTTTCAGAAACGGCTCCTGGGAATTTTTTCGTTCTAGTCAAGAGAGCATGTGGCGTGGCACTCTCAAATCCAAGAGAGGCAGAATAGAGAGTGGTCAACGAGCTCCTTCCTCACCGCTCATAAAGTATATAATATGATCATAGCAATTACTCCGTGATTTTCACTTGCTTAATTTTAACCTGAGGACTGAGACAGGATGTCAGTAGCATTTGCATGAGCATGTATTCTTTCTTAATTAGTATGTCATTTAACAGATATTTGTTCCTTTTTCAAATTATTGATAGCAACCAGCATTGATAGCATTACTGTCCACTACACCATAGACTTATGGGATTCCATGGTTGGGAAAGCTCAAATGTTTGGGCCAGTGCAGTCAGAATCCTTTGAGAGGTACATTTGCTTTGAACTATCATGGGGGTATCTAATTGGCTATTAACTGGAGCCAGAGAAAAAAATCTAGACTTATGGAACAGTGTGGCCCACAGTGTGCCAAGTCATCACATGTAGCTGCATCCTAGCCTTGTTTATAAAAGTAGAAGAGAGAGGAAGCCAGTTCTGGGTCTCAGTGTTTCCCGTACACTTAGGTAAACACTATGGCAGCTGCCAGGTGTTGAAGTGCTATAAAGCACTGAACATAGGGGCAGGCATACATGTGAATGTTCATAATAAATGATAATGTGCCTTGCACTATGCCAAGCTCTTTAAAAACTATATCCCAGTGAGTAGGATGTGGTTTTTAATACGGGCCTCTTCTGTGGTGATACATAATACCAGCCTCTTCTGTGAGGCTATTATGCAATATGTTGTACAGAGGAAACTGAGGCTAATACAGGTTTAATAATTTGCCCAAAGTTTTGCTGCTAGGATTTGGTGAAATCCATATTTGAAATGGGTCTATTAGAGTCTGGCGCCTAAGGTTCAGACCACTACAGTCAAGTGATTCTGCCAGTCCAGTGCTAATCTCTCTGCATTAAAAAATTACTGAGGATCTCCACATATTTAGGTAGGGCTTTGGAGTGGTTTCACATGCTGTGAAAATCATATTTTAAATTAATTTATATACTGCTGAATTCCACAATGGATTTGAATCAGGTATTCCAAAAACATACGGCTGCAGAATTTTTCCTCTGTTTGGGCTCTTTTGTTCTTTTTAATAATGCATGGTTCTTCTTTCACTCATTGAGACACACACATTTGATCTCTTGAGCCCTAGGTATAGTATGACTAGTAAGCTGGCCCATCTCTAGAGGTATTGACTTTTCCTTTTCAAGTGCTAGAGTGGCTATAAACTCTGATATTGTCATGGATTGGTGATGTGACAAACTTATTGGTAAGTTTCATAGCCACAGAGGATTACTGGAACATCTCTAGGTTTAGAAGTTTTGTGCCAATTTTTCTAGCTAATAGAGTAAGAAGTCAACTCCCAAGGATGTCTGGCAAATCTCCACTAGTTTATAATGAAACACTCCATAGACTGAGATGATTCTTTGATATCAGCAGGGAAGGAGGATATTTTATCACATAGAAAGAAATGACTAAGAGAAGTGATTGTGAATTTACATTACAAGTTATCAGAATTGAGTGTACAGTGGCCATATTTCCTCCTAAATAAGACGGTACTTACTTGAGAGGAGTGTGATTAAAGGATATTGCATTCAACCTTGCAAGCTGACCTGTGGGTGACAAAGGACACAAACGAGAAAGGTGACACGTCAAGTCTGTGATGCAGTCAAGCTGGTGAATTATTTGGCAGGAAGCCATGCACAAAGACACAAAGAGAGAGAGTCTATTGAATGAGAGTAGCATTCCAATCCATCCAACAACCATATGCTCACAGAGCATTCAAGGAAAACCACTTTGAGATCCTCCAGGGCATATGTTTTCAGTGGAGATACACAGGCCTGTTACATTCTCCCAGCCTCTTCCCTGTCCTTTTCTTAGAAGTCATGAGGCATGGAAAAGAAAGGAGAGGGAGAGGGAGCTTAATATTTACGAGCGATGGTAAAACCTCCAGTTGAATCTTAAGTCATTAGTAGAAATTTCCTTCATTTTACACATAGAAGGTTACATTTTTAATTCATTCAAATGAATAAAAATCTAATATTTTATATGGAATAGTGTAAGCCTGCCTCCCTTAAAGAAAAAAAAAAAAACACTAGAATTTCAGTTACTGCTGCCACTGAAATACAGAAAGTGACATGAGCTCAAAGAGGGAGGCCTAATAGACGCTTCTGATAGCATGAACCAGAACACTGGTTATTTAGCCACATTTTTTTCTTTCTTTCTACACAGCAGAGCCTAATGAGTTATGTGTAGGAATGCCATCCCTCAGAGTTCCCAGAGATGCCCTGGCAGTTTCATTGCAGGCTGGTTTCCTTCTGTGGAGGAGCCACAGAAGGCGCAAAGAAAACTGCACTCTCCACGGGTTTGCAATCAGACAACTTTGTTTCTGAAGCGTGGGAGCCTGGCTCTACATACGTAGTCACTTCTGTTTTTCTTTTCCCCTCTTTCTTTGGTATGGCTAGACCAACATTTTAGTTGCTTCTGAAATGTGGTTGTTAAACTGAAAAGGCAAATGGAACATTCCAAAGAGGCAAAACTTTGTTTTTATATTGCTGGGATGGAATTGGCGGGCTTCCGTTTCTCTCCTGCTACAATCTTCTTGGAAAACTATTTCAAGGCTTTATCTATAGACATATGAGAAATAGGAGATAATTTATTCTTTCTGCTTCTCTCTCTTTTTTTTTTCAATAACAAAGTAAGAGAGGGCACCCTAATAATATGCAGAAAGGCTGGGTATGGTGGCTTATGCGTGTAATCCCAACACTTTGGGAGGCCGGGGTGGGAGGATTGCTTGAGACCAGAAGTTCAATACCAGCTTGAACAATATGGTGGACCCTGTCTCCACAACAAATAAAAACATTAGCCAGGTGTGGTGGTGTGCACCTGTAGTCCCAGCTACAGGAGGCTGAGGTGGGAGGACCGCTTGTGCTCAGGAGTTCGAGGCTGCAGTAAGCTATGATCGTGCAACCGCACTCCAGCCTGGGCAACAGAATGAGACCCTGTCTCAAAAAGAAAAAACAAAACAAAACAAAACAAAGAAACAAAAAGCAAAAGAATGTGCAGAAAACTTGTCTGGCCATTCGACAGAAAGTCTGACAGGATAAAATAACCAATGAGGCCCAGGAAAAAGCTGGTCTCAACCAGGCAAACATCCCTGAAATACCAGAACCCCAAGCAAACGCCTGTGAATTAAAGGGAAAAGGAACACATGAGGAAGACAAACAAGGCAATAGAACGATCTCCACGGGGAAATGCGTGGCCTTTAGGATGAGTCGCTAGTTCCATTTATTCCCAATTGTATATGTCATGTTCAGTGAATTTTCAGGTGGCTAACATACTCCAGTACATCTGAAAATCTGTCCGTCCACACCTTGCTGAACACAGGCCTGCAGTTCCCCCAACATTTCTCCATGAGGTTTGCCATTCTCCTACTTACACTTGGCATGAGGTGGGCAATGAGGAAGGCTGAGGGCAAATAATTCAAGGGAGGTGATGGGTTTATGATTATTCAATTTTCTTGTGCCCTGCTCTTTGCATCCATTTAAAAATAATTATGAGAAAAAGCATCTTTCTTAATGGGCCTGAAAGAGTTTGGACTGTTAGTTACCATGTTATTTTCCAATATAAGAAGGCCACTTATCACTTTCTATGGCGGAATTTAAAAGAATACATGGTGAGTGACAGTTATAAGAAGTGGGTGCAGTGGCTCACACTTGTAATCCCAGCACTTTGGAAGGCTGAGGTGGGCGGATCACGAGGTCAGGAGTTCGAGACCAGCCTGGCCAATATGGTGAAACCTCGTCTCTACTAAAAATACAGAAATTAGCTGGGCGTAGTGATGTGCACCTGTAGTCCCAGCAACTGGGGAGGCTGAGGCAGGAGAATTGCTTAAACCAGGGAGGCAGAGGTTGCAGTGAGCCAAGATCACACCACTGCACTCCAGCCTGGGTGACAGAGTGAAACTCTGTCTAAAAAAAAAAAAAAAAAAAAAAAAAAGAAGCATTTAATATTTGTACTGTCTAGAAGACATGGATTAAGGAGTAAAATCAGCATATTTTGGAAAGGGAGGGTGGAAGGAAGGAGAAGGCCCTGATTCTGCAAGTCATGTCAAAGACCCAGCTACCAAGGGGTTGAGGCAGAAGAGGTGGGGTGGGTGGGCCTGGATCCCGGTACCTGATAGGCTTCATCCTGCAGCTTCTGTTTCAGGTATTCCTCCATCTTGAGCTCATTCTCCAGCTGCCGGACAGAGTCATTTTCGTAGTTTTCATCCTCAGGCCGCACATAGGGATCTGCATCCTCCGTAACCCTGAGAAGAAACCACAGATGACATTTTAGAGTGAATCTTAAAAGAGAATTACAAGTGGGATTCGTGTGTGAGCTGTAGTTTATTGGCACCTTTATTTCTCCTTAGTTCTCCAAGTCACTTTCATGTCTTCTTTAGTAATACGTAAAGAAAAACTTGGAAACATTTTGGAGGTTGGAAGCAATATATGATCAAGGTATTTTCATACACAATTTTTTTATGGCAGTTGTGGTCATAGGTCATCTCTCTTTTTCCTAGGGTTTACTGAAATGGGTTGGCCCTTTAAATGTTCTATAATTTAAAAAATGGCAAACATCTTTTGAGGGGATACAAAGTTTTCCCAATCAGAGGGCTCTTTTTATTCTTCTTCAAAATAGAACCCAAGATCACTTTCTGTATGGAGAGTGAGCCCTCTAGTGAAGTAATGCTTAAGGACATTTGGTTTTAATTTAGTCTCTTTTGTGTTACCCACACATGCACATACACATATGAATGCACACCACATTCATGCCTTATTTTTACAGAATTAAGTCTAAGAATATCAGCTAGTCGATGCCAGGAGGGCTACTAACCCATAACTCTTGATCTTAGCTCTAAATATGAAAAAAAAAAAAAGCATTTTAATTATCCAATTCCACTCTGAAATAAATAGTTAAAAATGACTTCATTCCCTGATGTGGGACTCTGTCTCCATCTATTCATCCTAGACTATGCAAAGCTCTTCATGGGGCTGGACGTAAGCTTGCTACCTAAATCAGAGGACTAAAAGATTCTCAGGGTAAGACACAAGGACATGTTTAGACAATAGAGATATTAAATTATTCCCTAAAATGAAATAAGTGGTCAAGAAGAAGTTTCTACGCTGGAACTTGAACGTCGTTGTTCATGTTTATTTATAGCTGTACAACTTGTTCTGGTTATTTTTGGAGGTTTGGGGCCAGCCTAAATGGGTCTGCCTAGGCCTCTGTTAACTTTCCTTCCCTAACTCCTGAGTCACATGTTGGTAGCTGGTACTGCCACTCAGTGTACCAGGGCTAGCAGATTAGGGTGGCCCCAACAGCCTTGGCCTTTAGAATTGGGACAAGGAAATTCTAGCTAACTGCCATATAAATGCTTAATAATAAAAAGTCAAATAGATACGCATTTACCAGACAAAACAGATGACAACTAATTCACTATTTTGAATAACAAATCCAACAATTCTAGAATACAGAAGAAAGGACAAGAAAGCAAACTCTATTAAGCAGCAGCGTACTGCCATGTTAAGTCCCATTATAATGGTTTTGTTTTGATCCTATTCTCTGCTGCTTCACAGCTGACTCTCAGACCACAGCTCTTGATAATTCTCCATGATTACTGATCGTTTATTCACTGCTGGGATTGGGAGCCAGACACCAGAAAGGCCTCAGGTTAGTTTCTTCTCTGAGTCTTTAACATGGCCAGTTTATTTTTATACACTAGTCTGAAGTACTTTTCGTATTAAGCAACACCACCCTTCTGTAGTATTTTTAGCGTTCAGACGCTCCCTCCCCCAGCTTTTGCCCACGTTTCCCGTAACTCCACGAACCATGGTCTCCTAACGGGCCACTTTCTTCCCTTCTTTTGTTTTCCTCCTTTCCCTCCCAAGTTGGGCTCTGCAGCTCTGTCCCAGCTTTGCCTTTGTTTCTCAGCTTTGGTTTTCTCTGCTGACTACTTTGAGCTGATCACAGACAGTCTAGTGGTCACAGGACGTCACTGATGCTGCTGGTTTCTGACAAGCTCCAGAACTGGGTGGAAACTTTCGCAAATAAGTCTTTAGAGGGTCAGATGTATACATATTCAACAAGTCAACCAAACTGGATTTCTTTATAATGAGATTTTATACATGTACTTATTTCAATTCCAAATACTTATATGATGTTGTTTACACCAATTCTGAACAGAGACCTCTCCAATGTCATGGTATCCTCTAAGTGCAAATATAATAAGTTCAGAAGATAGGATGATTTATCTCCTGAAGTAGTCTGAGTCCTAAAAGGGTGGCAGCAGTTTTTTAATACTATTTTGTATAGAACTAGCACTGTGCCTTGGGCAAGGCAGGCTCTTGATAGGCACTGGTTGGTTTAGGTTATTGATAACTCTCTGGAAACTGTAAGAGGGGAGATATTACAATGCCGAATTTATATGTAGCACCATTCTGTATCTCTGGCAGAAAAGAAAACTATGTCACCCCTTTTGAAGGTTAAAAAAAAACCCTAAACAATTATGCTTTTACTTTCTTATTGCCTCCTACGGATTGTTTTGTTACTGAGAAAATGCCTCCAAGCGGAAGATACTCACATGTCGCCACGCATGGTACTTGTGGTAGCTCCACTGTGAATATACCCAGGTTTTCGAGCATGGATTTGCGCTAGAAAAGCCTTTTCAGAGGTTGGTGAGGGAACAAGATCCTCAAACTGAGTCCGTGCAAATTCAGAATCCACATTACTCTCTGTTTCACTCCCAACCTCTAGCAGATACAATTGAAGAAATAAAGAGTGACTTGTTAGATTTTTTATGACCTGCAAATAAGGGAGTAGGCTTAACAAATCAACCTGTGCTGTGTAAAATGTTAACCAGTTATCATATTTTAATCAAGTACATTTTTATTTTTTCAAAATATGAATTGATATTGACGTGAATTACTACAAAATCGGTTGGTATACAGCATTTTTTAAATCTCAGAAATGTTATGAGGAATTTTTGCCATCTTAGTAACTGACTTAACTTTTTAAAACTTCTGGTTTTTCCCTTCTGTAAGAGACTTAACTAAAATTGTTACTTTTGCTTAATATTACACTAATTTAAGAAATATGAGTTAAAACCTAAACCTAACCATAAAGTATTCACCTAAAATGCCTCAAATATGAACTTAAAATATGAAGTGAACCCTATCACTTAATACTTTAAAGAATTATGAGTATAAACTAACAGTGCTTAAGACTGCTACACCAAGGATAACTTCATACTCATCATTTGCTAGGGGCGTGGCTACCTGCCATTAATCATGATGTATTAACTACTATCATTTAATTCTGTTTGGTAATCTTAATTTAAATTAGTAGCAACAATTTTCAATTGAGAGGCTTTAAGAAAGTTAAGTCCAGGATTTTTTTAATACTGAAGTTTTATTTCTTATAGCTGTTGTAATCTCTACCATAAGACCATAGTCTTGCCAGACAAATCTCTTGCTAGGTCGGCCTTAAGGAATAGACGGAGATGCATTAGTAACTGGTAGGATATTTATTTGCATATTCATACTGCTAAAGTTTTGAACACTCTTTGTAGTATTAGGAGGATAAAAAGTCTCCTTAAATTTTATGCATTTATTTCTGGGCAGATCTATCTTCAGAGATATTGCAAAGGTAAATTTCAATTTGAAATTCAAATTCAAATGATCAGGTGTTCTAAATTAATGAAACCTAAATAGATAAGGGCTGGAAATCCCAGCACTTTGGGAGGCTGAAGCAGGATGATCATTTGAGCCCAGGAATTCAAGACCAGCAAGACCCCATCTCAAAACATAAATAAATAAATAAATAAATAAATAAAACATTTGACCCTATAAAATAACTTTAGCATCATGTTGTTTTAGGTCACCATAGATGTGAACAGTGGCTGTCTTTGGATTCCAGAATTATAGGTCAGTTTGAATATTTTTCGTTGTTCTTTTCTGCCTTTTTCAAACTTTCTACATTGAGTATGTATTAATAGTCTTTTAATAAGCAAAATATAAACATTACTTTAAAAATCTGAATAGGCCAGGCATAGTGGCTCACACACTTTGGGAGGAAAAGGCAGGAGGATCACTTGAGGCCAGGAGTTTGAGACCAGCCTGGGAAACATAGCAAAGACTCTGTCTCTATGAAAACAAACAAACAACATTAGCCAGGTGTGCTGGTGTGTGCTTGTAGTCCCAGCTACTAGGGAGGCTCAGGTGGGAGGATTGCTTGAGCCCAAGTGTTTGACATGCCAGTGAGCTATGATGGTGCCACTGCACTTCAGCCTGGCAACACAGAGAGACGCTGTCTCAAAAAACAAAACAAAAATTAAAAAAAAAAACAACAACCCTCAAATCTGAATGGACCAACAAAATACCACGGACAGCTTTAAACAATCTTTTGATATTAGACAATGAGCAGATCTCTAGGAGAGGCCCCTAGCACTTACGGACCCCTCCATGATGAGCAGACAAATGAAAGGGAATCAGGAGCTCACCAGAATTCAGCTCTTTCACAAGAGAGGACATGGTGTTAGTGATGGAATCCGCAGCCACTAGCAAGTCATTCCTTAAATTTCTTCTTGAACCTTCAGGGAAGAAGAAATAATTTAAAAAACCAAAGCCTTCCTTTTATCCTAAATTTTTATGTTGTTTATCTTTCCCATTAATAACCTAAAGCAAGAAAACTTCTAAGACTTCTCCTTTTCAGAAGTGCTTTGGTTCATTTCCTGAAAAAACAACAACAGCAACAAAACACCGCTTAGGGCAGTGGGTCCTGCGGTAAGAAGACATGGATAATGATGGAGCTTCATATATTATTTGTCCAAGTGGGGACAATTTTGAAAGTGAAAGAGAGCAGTATGAATCAGACTGGCTGACCTGGCAAAACTGGGATGGTCCCAGGTACACCAGTGTGTGTGGTCACCCTTCTTAAGAGTAATCCTGGCTGGGCGTGGGGGCTCATGCCTGTAATCCCAGCACTTTGGGAGGCCGAGGTGGGCGGATCATGAGGTCAGGAGATCGAGACCATCCTGGCTGACACGGTGAAACCCCGACTCTACTAAAAATACAAAAAAATTAGCTGGGCATGGTGGCGGGTGCCTGTAGTCCCAGCTACTCGGGAGGCTGAGGCAGGAGAATGGTGTGAACCCCGGGAGGCGGCACTTGCAGTAAGCCGAGATTGCTCCACTGCACTCCAGCCTGGGCAACAGAGCAAGACTCTGTCTCAAAAAAAAAAAAAAAAAAAAAAAGAATAATCCACACAGATGAAAAGTCAGGTTTGCCAGGAGAGCTGTGCCTTCCTAGCTGCTATTATTGTTCTTGCCCTTACCTGGTGGCTGAGCACTTTTGATTCTGGTCTCTACTAGGACATGCCCTGTCTCCTATCAGGGCTCCTGGAGCTCTTCCTGCCAGTATAAGTACCACTTGGGAATGGGAAACCCACATGCACTGAATGCCCCCAGAGTGTGAGAAAGGGGTGAGGATTCTTGTTTCTTCTGCCAAGACATGGGCAGATACATGTCTGATACTACGAATTGGAACTTAGACTATGTTTCTTAATGGCAGAGAATGATTATTCTTTTGTTTCAGGCACACTAAGGTTTAAATGGATGCTTGTGATCCAGCCTGGGAGTAGGGAAAGTAAAGAGAGATAATTACCATAACATCTTTGAGAAAAAAATGGTTCAAGATTCCAAATACCTAACTTACAAATGAACTTAGGTGGCATGAACTCTTTATAAGTTAAAGGCTGCCTACAGGCCACATTTCATTCTGTCGTTTTTCAGAAAGTAATACTAACTAAATAAAATAATAAATATGTTTAAATTTAAAAAAATCACAGTAGTTAAGTAAAACATTTATTATAATGGAAATCACAAATTGATTTAAAATATGGTAAATTTCTTTAAAATATGATTTAGAGAAGGGATATTTTTCTTTCTAAAAATTAAAATAAAAAAGTTATTTTGTGAATTACATTTTTAAAAACTCTTGAGTTATGTTCAGTGCCTAGAAGAAAAAGTTCTAATATAGATCCTTCCTTTTCCCTCATAAGAGAGTACAGAGTTCATCATTGTCTCTCACTGAAGTGTGTTAAGATTTTATCACCCCTCCACATGGATGAGAGTACCTGTTTCCTCGCACTCTTGCTATCCCTGGATATTATGATGTTTCAAAACACTTGTTTAATCTTCTAGGCAAAAAGCGATACTTATTAAAATTTATATTTCTGCAATTATATCAGAGGTTGAACATCTTTTCATATATTTATTGGCAATTTCTCTTTGTTCTTCTGTCTGTCCGTATCTTTCACCTGTTTTTGTTTTGGTGGTGTCTTTTCTTTCTGATCTCTACGTGATTTTTGTGAAATTATGAAACTTGATTGACACATATGCTGGAAATGGTTTCCTCAAGACTGTTTTCTGTCTTTTAACTTTGTTTATGATCTCCTTTGCCTTAAAACTCATAGTCAAACATGTCTCTCTTTTCCTTAGATCTCTATATGAAGACTTTGAAGAATGTGCATGATAGATTGCTAATTTAAAGAAAATGCAAATTGTAGACCCCAAAATGCAATGCATGATCCTATTTGTGTGAAAAAAACCAGAAAAGAGTATGTGCCTATAATCACATCCTTAAACATATCTATTTACACATAAGCAAAACTTTGGGAAGGATCAAATTGTTAGTAGTGGTTACTTCTGGGAATGAAAGCTGCCGGGTGAAGATCTACAGAATGATTTTTTTTTTCTTATTCTCTACAAATTTAAAAAGTGATAGTAAGAAGAGGTTTTAAAAAGTGTTAAAAATATTTCTAAATTAATACAGTCACTCTCCCTGTCGTGGGAAAGTGCTGGCTGGCATCCCCATCCCTCTTTGTACTCCTCTAACTGCAGAGGCCTAACCCTGTAGCCCTACCTTACAGAAGCAATGGTTCAGCTCTTTGGGGAATCTGAACAGGGAATCTGTCAAATGACTACATGTCCTTCTTGCTTACCTCATTGCTAAAGAGCTGTGATTACTTATCTCAGTCTTGACTTTAATATAAAGAAAAGACAATATGAGATAAAATCTCTAAGAATTAAAAAAAAGTGGATTACATTTATGAAGTTTTCTGGGGGTCCTGGTGAAAAGATTTCCTGTCTTTTGATGAACAAAGACTTACTAAAAAATAAGACAGGGTAACAAAAGCCAAAGGAAGGTAAAATGGTGAAGTGAGAACAAATCGGGGTAGGGAGTTCCCAAAACGGCTGGCAGGCCCGGCTCTGACACCAGCCGTGAAAGACTCTTCAATATGAAGTCACATGTTGCTCTGACAACTCTTGACCACTCAACAGACCTTGGTGACCTATTTGTCACATAAAAGCAGACCACAACAAAAAATAAAGCCACTTACTTTGTGCAAATGCCTCCTGTACATCTCCCCCTACCCCTGTGAGGGAGTCCTGCGGCGTGTGCGTCGGGGTGGAGCAGGCTGACGCTGACCGGACGGGCATGGGAATTGGCCTGCTGATGGTGTGGCTGGGGGAGGAGCGGGGAGAGCCAGCCCCCTGAGTCTGGAGAGACAATGCGAGTCATTAATTTGCTTTCCCAAGAAAATGTCATGTATCATCCCCACTGCCTCAGTTGATGGTTGAAAACAGTGACAATGAAATTTCAAAGCAGGAGGAAATCCTAGGTAATTGAGTTGGTAATCCTAAAGCTAATTTGCAGGTGCAGATAATTTAGGCTCTTCTACGTAATCTGAAGTTTGGGTTAAATATTGAAAGCCAAAAATATTAGTAGAGCATTGCTCTACAGTATATGAGACATGTGCCCATAAAATGAAGGTACTGTTAAATGCAGATAATTACAAGGTGTGGATACTTTCTCCTTGAAGGAGAAGGTCTCCCAGGAATAAGAAGACATTAAGGAGAAAGTTTAAAATACAAACTAGAAAACTATTTGGAATGGATGCTTTCTAAATTTTCAACCTGACTATACTAGCATCATCTTTAGAGGATAAGAGTTTAAATCATGTCATACAATATTGTGCATATTAAGTCTCAAATTAAGAATCAAATGAAGTGTAAATTGTTTTCTCTCTATTTTACAGTAAAAGCTGATTTTGTCAAATTAGTGACTCAGGAATTCCAATGGGGAAGAAGAAGAAGAAACCTTGTTTTCTAATTTTTTGGTATTATTTCCTGCAGGAAATGTCCTTCTCTTCTCCTACGAAAAAGCAGTATTCTATCAGGACAATAAGAATAGTAGGATTTAAAGACGAGTAAAGAAAAAAGTAGAAAACAACTAAAGGAACTTATCTTTGCACTACAGTTTTTGGCATGAAACTATTCTGAGACTGTCACACCTCGAATCTTAAGGATTTGTCTCTAAATGAGGTGCCTTGTAAATATTCTCCCTGTTTTAATAATTAGTTGATAAAAGAAGTCAGTCACATGCGTAAGAAAATGCAAAGAGACCCTTGAGTGCATACACAACAGATTAGGTGTTCACATCAATTCCATCCCAATCTGTTTGCTATGGTTGCTAGAGTGAGAATTCTTCTCCAGCAAGGCCCAGAGAGTCATCATTAACCCATTCAAACTCCCAGACCAGAGCAATGCTCTGGAATATTCCATTTAGATATTTGCTTTGGGTTCAGTGGTTTGTGGTTAAAACACACCACATCAATCCTGAAAAAATGCCATGCTGTTAGCTCCAGGGCTCAGCATCACACACAATTGTTAAAGCCATAAACAGAAAAATCCAGAATTAAAAATGGAGCAAAACAGAACAGAGCACAGAAAATATCTCATGGGGTGCCCAATGGGCTGAGTGTCCCATTCTTTCACTCTCAACAGTACCTTGTAATGGTCTGTCCAGGCCCAAGGAAGAGAACTTTGCCCAGTTGTGATGCTTTTGCAGCCTGCTTCCCTCGGCCTGCTCAAGGAGGGGTCTGGTTTTCCCCAGAAAACTCTGGCAGCTCAGCCCCATTACCTTGAAACCTTCTGCTTCTGAGCTACCACTACATCCTTGACCTTCCCATGCCAATAATAAATAATTTCACATTTGCGTTAAGCTTTATGATGTTCAAAGGGTTTTCACATACACTCTCACTGATTTCTCTCCATGCATTCTCACTCTGAATGTGAAGTTGTGGAGCCCAGTACTCAGAGAGGTGAAAATAATTGCTTCATCAGGAGACAGAGCCAGAGCAGCAGGGCTGGGGCTGAGCCCAGGGGCTCTGAGTGCCCTGGGCTGCAGGAGCCTTGATGGCCATGGCTGGCAAAAAGTCCCTCAATGGAGACAGATGCTGATGAAGTGCCCTGAGCTCTTCCTACTTTGGCAATTCCTCTTGTACATCCTTTTCGAGGCAGGGCCCTTAGCAGGGCTCCTGAGCCTTTTGTCTCTGTCCTCTTTATTAAGGGACCAATAATCACAGCTGGGAGTGGGGACTAGAGAAGGGAAATTGGATGGAGTGGTTATTAAGAAGTAGGATTCTCTTGGCTATCAGTGAGGGTTACATTCTCATCCCTGGGGACCCAGATTGTCTTCCATGGTGGGAAGTTCACAATAATAATACAACTCCACTTTTGTAAGTAATTCACAGTGTATTAAGCACTTTTACATACACTGTTTTGTTTCATTTTCCTAGTACAATGGTAGGAGTGGTACTATCCTATATTTGAATAGCAATTTGCAGTCTGTAAAGCACTTTAGCCCCTCATACTTCATGTAATCCTCTTAACAACCATATGAGGTATTATTATTTCCACTTTATATATTAGTAAACTGAGGCTCAGAGGAGATAACTGGATTACCCAAGGTTTCTGAGCAAGAGAATGCCAGAGATTATCCCTAGTCTTTAGACTCCAAGCCCAGGCTTCGCCATGCTGATTCTAAGGACTGTGGGCACTGTGGCCAGCCATCATATGCTTCCATCTATGCTTCACTAGTGTAGAAAGGTTCAGCAGCCTGAAGAGGGAACAGGCGCAGGGCACAGACCCAGCACGACCACCTTGTGGTGCTGGAGCAGTGTCCTAGGGGTTCCTGCTACTGGGCCAGGCAGTATCTTTTAGTTGCTGGATCACAGAAAAGGTGTGTGGATGCTCAGGGTGGTGGGAGGGCCTTTGGACTGTTTATCAATTGGTACAGAAGTACAGGCCTACAATCTCTTATTTGCAATTTTGAAAGCCAAAAAAGCTCTGACAAACACTGGTTATTCCATAATGAATTTGGTCTTAATGGATGTGAGGCAACTGATAATGATATCTGCATCATATTGCTTTTCAAAACTAGATAAATTCTGAATTCTGGAACATGTCTGGATCTAGTGATTTGAGATATGGGGCTATGGACCTTATTTCACTACTTTAATGTCTGTTCCGGGGCTGTAGTGCACACCAGCCTTGATTATACCTCTTATACCAGGTTCTCCAGGGAGCTGGGGGCTCCTCCCTCTAGGCAGCATTTGTAAGTAGACTCATATGTCTGGCTCTTCCACCTCCTTTTCTGTGAGCCTCTCCCCATCTCTTAGTGCACTGGGCTCCTCTGCTAATTCCTGTGGGTCTGAGGCATGCCCCACCCTACCTCTCTCTGCTCAGTGCCTGGTCTCAAAGGCAACTTTTGCTACTCCTTTCTGTGGGCATTCTTTTTCAAAACTCCCATTAGTGGTTCTACATTAAGAAGAAAATAATTGGCTCTCGTTGTGTGTTAACAGAAAAACAGTTGACTGAATCTAAATTACACCAATGTGTGAATGATGAATAGCCATCATTTCCCAAGGGAATCTCTAATTGGTGCAATTTTGTGCAGTATGATTATGTGAAGAATTTAGGTAGAAGATCCTGTGCTGAAGAGAATAATCAGCTGCATCTTTCCCACAACTGGCAACTCCCATGTCACATCCAGCCTTTAACCAGACTTTTTGGGGTAGGACACTGACACCCTGGGTGATCACGGCTCCATCTCTCCATGTCAGGACACTGTCCAGTTCGATGCATAGCATCTTCCTAGTGCCTACCCACTGTGAGGAATGCCATCTCTGGCCTTCCTTTCTGTTCTGTTTTTGTAGGAACACTAGGAAAAGGCAGTGGCCTCCTGGCATTGGGGCAGATCAGTGATGATGTCACTGAGTTTCATTTTCACAGGAAGTGGCCTTGGTGGAATGGTGGCTTCCAGCCTGGTCATGAGGCATAGTTGTCTGCTAACAACTGTAGAAGAGTTAGAGTGAATAATCTCTGTGAATATCCTTTCCTGGAAATTACTCAATGATTAATGGAGCAAAGACTTAAGGGACAACGGTCCATGCAGATCAATATATAGATCTAAAATTCCCAAGGAGAGAGTTGATTTATGGAAGAAGGAAAACATATATCACACTTGGCAAATTTAAAATAGCTCACTTCCTGGAGAATAAATGAAAAATTAATTTCTATGCACCATCCTCCAAGTCTACTCAACTTGCTGTTGTATCAAATTTTTAAAAGTCTGACAAGATTCATACATTTTTTGATATTTTCCAGGAAGTGTTTTGGTTTCTATTCACCATCAGAAATGAAGGATGCTTCATGAAAAGGAGCAAATGTCTAATTGTTGAATCAGGACCCCCTGGTGAAAGAGCAGAGAATTATATGTCCCCCTCCCCGCTAGACCTGAAGAGTCTGCCTCTCAGTTTGGCTGAGAGTGCAGTCTGGTCATGCCTGGCTGCACCTAGCATCCTGGGAAGGTGCAGCAAAGCAGTGTTTAGCAGCATTCAACCCTGTTTTCATCCTTAGTCTTCCAATATAAATGCACTGACTATCCTCACATTGATGATAATTTTGATAATCAGCCTTTTTAAAGCAGTCATTGTGAATAGAGTGTTGTGGGGATACACAGGAGGTGATTAATTCTGACTGTTCAGGCAGGAGGCATCATTTGACTTGGGCTTTAACAGTGAAGATTTCCAGGCAGAAATGAGAAAGTGTGGGGAGAAGAAAAGAGCAGAGCAACCTGGGCCTTGGAATAGCGGGAGCAAGGCATGGGAAATCTGAGACGTATTGTGGAGAGGGTGGGAAGGCCTGACACCATTGTGTGGCTCTGGTGTCAGGCTGGCTGCTGGATGTAGAAAGAAATGAGGCTAGAAAAGGGAGACGGGCAGGTCTGGGGACCTCCAGGGTAGACTTTATTGTGAACCAGAGAGTCATCTTCCAAGGCTTTTAAGCAGAGAAATATTATTTACTTATTTAGAATTAATTATAATAATCAATACTTAATTTTAAAAAGAGTGAGTCTGGGAGGGTATGTTTTTGAACACTAGATGACCATCTTTATATTGCAGTTGATCATTTATGAGGTGAATTATCCCTCTCCCTCGCTTTTGACTGGTTCATGCCTGCATTGAATACCCACCAGAGAGGATGAGCGAGGAAAAGCCA